ATATCACAGTGTTCAATTCTTTATAGAAGGGATAAAGGGAGGAGAAGGGATTGACCTGCAATGCCAACAACCGTGCTAGGCATACCCTGAGTAAACAAGAAGATCACTAGTCCTTATGCTTCCAGGTAACAGCTACTTCTTAATTATACTACTCACAGATTTCTACCAATAAAGACTTCAGCCAGAAGCTTTAAACCCAAGGACTTGTGTCTGGAGCTAAGGTATGCAAAGCTTATACTATTATCTCAAACAGATCTCAAATGAACTTTTACTTCCATAAAATGAATTGCTAAAGTGCAAAGGCTTCCCAAGCCATGGAAATAGTGGCACCAGGTACTCCTCTAAATATTTATATAATCTAATTGCAGCCATTTTGCAAAATCCTTCATAAAGGTATTAGAACATTAAGAGCTAATCCTAACTCTTAGAGGGGATGTCTACTACTATGAAAATTTCCCTTTCCAGTAAAACCCAGAGACCTTTTTCTTTGCTTTATTCCTACTATGAAAAACATTTAAAGCCCATTTAATCAGGATTACCCAGGTGCATGAAAGATCTTCAGGATCATGTTTGTTATATATATCTTTTCTTGACTGGGCTAACAGCTCTCAGAGGCAGGATTCCCTCTTAGGGTTTCTACAGCCCCTGAATCTTATGGTTTAATCATACCAGAAGGTCTTCTCCCCTCTGCTTTCCCGCGCCCTGCTTTGCTTATGGACTCTGTGACTTGTGATATCTATGGGTGCTGTTTTGTAGTGAGCTTATCACTGCCTGACTTTATCGGCACCGGCATTAATATGGAAATATGCTTGGCAGCTGTTTGACATCAAAGCATTATGACTGGCTTTCTCCTTTGGAAAACAAACTTTTCTAATGGGTAGTGCCATGCCTGAGCAGCACTCCAGCACAAGCAAGCCCCCGTAGCTTGCTGAGTTACCACACGTCAGCTGAGCTGCAACAACCGCGGCAAGGAACGGGCAAGGCATGGCGACACCCAGGAGCATCTCAAGCTGTAGATACCTGGTAAAATGTCTGATCTCCAGTTGCTTGGTCATTGCTATTTCTTGAGCAACTTCCTCTATTTTTCTGAAGATTAAGCCAAGAATAAAGATTTTTGGAGGTGATGGGGTCAGGAAGAATTTGAAACTACTTAAAACTGATAAAGACTTCTTGTAAGAAATAGCTAAAACAACAGAAAATGATTCACCTGAAACTCTGTAAAACCAAAGCCACTCAAGTACTTTGAAGTGGATTGCAGAAAGTCTACACTTTTCTTATTTTTTCTTTCTTTTTTTTTTTTTTTTAAATTTTGCAACTAGTTCTTCAAGTTTTGCAGCCCAAAATCCCTGTGTCCGATGCCAGAGGCTAGATTTTGTTCCCTATTACAGAGCAGTGTCAGGCCCAGATAAAAACCATACCTAAATTTCATCTACCCAAGTAAAACTCCAATGAATTCCCCTGCAGAAAACACAAATCCTTCAAAAGCACATGCTTGTCTTTCCTTTTTAAACACTGGAAGTGTTTAATAGGGTTATCAGGTGTTATGTATCTTGGTCTACCATTCAAAGCAAAAACTATCAAACCTTTCAGCGTTGAAGCGTTAAGAAACCTAACAATTTCACACAAAGGTACAATATAAGTGCCGTAGGTGCTATCCAGGTTCTGCACGTGTTGTTTTTTTTTTTAAACTCATTTGAACAGTTCTTCATACATTTCCGCTGATATTACCAAATGAGAAAATGCTGCAGGAGTGATGACTCAATGCAAACCCACCAGGATGATCACTGTTCCATGAATAACCCTAATTGTTCTAACACATTTTCTAACAGATTTTTAGTAGGGTTGAGTAAATACTGATTTGATGAGTTTCTTTAGAAACTAATCTGAAAAAATTGCAGATTTTAATAGGGCACAATAACCTTCCACTGAACAGCTCCTCATAGACTAGAGGCTCATGGACATGCCTTGTAAAAGCAATCAACTTTGTCAAAGCTAGAGCTCTGGAATAAAGCCCTATGCCATGCAGATCAGAGAATTAACCATGATAAACACTCATTATCACAATAAAATTAAGAATTAATATGTTACCATTTGAGCCCTACTTACCAGACTTCTACATGTGGAGTTAAAATAAAGTGCCAATAAAATGGCAGAAGCAGAAAGATTAAACCATGTTTCATTTTAGCAAAGGTTCCTGATCAATTCTGTGTCTCTATGTAGACTGAGCTTTCCAACTGCATCACTAGAATATTTTTACTTCGCTCTGCCTGATGACACACCTACCCAGCCCAACTGCAGTACTACTGACAAGCACTTGGTTTAGGAATATAGCAGAGGCACCACTGGCCAAAGCCAATGTAATACCTATCCATTGAATAAGCAGCACCAACCATAATAAACCTGAATTTAAACTCCCAACATAGAATAACACATATAAGTATGTGTGTAACTTTCAACCTGTGAGAAGCTCCAGTGCAGTCACTGGTGGTCTTGGGTTGTGGACTGCTGTATCTCTAACCATCAGAGAACAAACAAATGCACAGTTCTTACTCCCTCTCGTTTCCCTGCACAAAGTAACTTTGCTCCCACTGCTCAACTAGAGATCTGGCACAAGCTCTGTGACACAGCAAGAAGTCTTAGCACTTTGCTCACCTACATCCTAAATGTGCTCAACCAGTCAGTCCCAATGATTGTGTTACTTTAGAAATGAAGGGGTCATCATGTTTCCATCAATGTATCAAATATTCAGTGGAAAATAAGTGATCAGAAAGTGAATGGATGTACAGAAGGAATCATGAACAGCCCATAACCAAACTCCTTGCTTGTCTATAGCCTTCCAGACTCAAATGAGTAATTAAGCAAATAACTCTTCTCCACCACGTGTTACATCTGCAAACAGTGAGCAGACACAGCCCAGTCCCAGCTGGCCAGTCTCAGCTGGCCAGTCTCAGCTAACTGTGGCTTTACAAGAGTCATCAACGGAGAATCAGACAGGCATTTAGTTGGTAAGGGCCACTCTTTCTGCATCTTACACATGCGCATTTCTGACCCAACTTAATGCAAGCTGCAGAGAATTGAACAGAGCTAGGTGAGCATTATGGTATCTGCATGGGCTTGCACTTATCTCAGGTCTCTTCACAGCTCCTCAGTCTGTCTTGAAAGGCAAAAGGTCTGTCCAGCTAAAATATCTGAAGAGCCAGATAACAACAAGCTGCAATTCAAATGAAGCAAGGGCTGCTCTGATCCTTAGCAACACTACACACCAGGGTGCTGAGCTGTCCTTGCCCTCTCTTTCCTGACTCTTTCCATGGTGCAGCCAGAGCTGAGACCTCAGGCCAGAATCCTCAAAACTCTCAGCGTTCAGGGAGTTTTAAATCATTGCTGGTTTGCTCAAGTGTTTTAAAATGATGCTTGAGAGACAACTCCCTGATTGGTCACAGCCTCTATGATGTGTGAATTCACAAACATCTGAAATAGAGCAGAAGAAGGAAAATCTTACTTATCCCTTGGCCTTCACAGGTTTGTTCCCTACAAGACAATTCTCAGTACTTAGTCTCAGCAGTGTACGAGGACGAGGACCTTCAAGACTGTCTGCTGCAGTGGGACATCTTGCAAGGCAAGAAATTACTGGGTTGTTTTTTATGGGACAACTGCACCTTTGGGTTGTGCTGCTGTGCTGCTTCCTGGTATAGATTAGTGATTTTTGTTTGTATTTAAGGATAATTCCTACATTTGCTTCCGCTCCATGCCAGCAGATTTTCTTTGAACGAATCCCCACTGCCAGGCCTGATGATCTACATGCTCCTGCTGTTTTTCTATACTTTGTGCAGATACTCCAGAAGTCTGATCCAAATCACACTGGTACAAAATATTCTCCACCAATTACTTGGAGATCTAAAATACTTTCATGTTATTTGAGTACGGGTGGGGAAGTCACCTACATATTATCAACCCTTCATCACACAGGAAGTCAGACATATGAGGTAACTTCATTTCAAAAATAACTCTTCTATTGATGCTTCCTATCATACGTGCGTAAGTACATGAATAACAACAACAAATCCAGGGGAAGAATTATTAAACACACAAGAATCTAGCAAAAACCTGAAAACTCTCCAAAGTACAGACTATATTATGCATGGATTGATTTTGATTTCTTGGATTGCTATAAGTGATTCCAGAAAGAAAAATACCTTTCATTCATTCTGCAATATTACTCAAAAAACATGCATGCTTCCATGCAGAGACCCACTGCAGAACAGGATATTTATTTCAGACTACTTGTAGGCTTGCTTTATGTAGTGTAAATCTTAAAGCAGTAAGAAGAATGCTAAGGTGAGAAATGTAAGCGATGTATTATTTATCTCACCCACCTCTGGAAAGCTCTTAAAAACTAAGTTTTATATGGTGTAAATTACTGCACAAACCTTAACATAGTAGAGTCACATCCAGGCAATCTCTGGACCTAATTCCCTCTTTCTCACTTAATCTGAACTAGATGACAAGTAAATCCACTGCAGCACAATAAGTTATATCAGAAAACGGTACAAGATGAGAATCAAGTTGTGTGAATCATCTGGGAATATTTTGCCCTTCCAGAGCTTATCAAGGAGCTGCACAACCTGAAGTACAGCGTCCAGTGCTTTTAAGTATGGTAAACCCTCTTACACTCCTGAGGCAATAAAGGAATCATACAACACAAACAAGAAGCAATTTAAGTCCTTATCAAGACTATGAGCCAAAATTAATCTATTAAAAAGTGTTGCGTGAAAAACAGTAACATTTTATAACAGAAGGTCTGGCAGATGGAGAAGTTCAGAACCAGTTTAATCAGCAATGTGCCTGTCTCTCAATTTATCTCCCCAGATATCAACCTATATTTGAGAAGGGTTACATTTGTTCAAATACACACAGTTTAATGATCAACTCGTTGGTCTGCCTCTTCTAAAATAAAGAGGAGTATAAATAGATCAAATTCCTCAAGCCAGAACACTCACACAGCAAAAACTGTTAGTAGGAAAAGTCTCTGCATCCTGAACAACCAAAGAGTACCAGGAGCAGAAAACATGAAAATCATTCTAGTCTTTCTATTCATTGTTCCACTTGCTCTTTCAGCTGGAGCTGAGAAGGATTATTCCTCCTTTGATGCTGCCGTATCTCCTGAGACAAAATCAAGATTTGCCATGTTAGATGATGTACGAATCTTGGCCAATGGACTCCTCCAGCTTGGGCATGGTCTTAAAGATTTTGTCCATAAGACAAAGGGGCAGATGAATGACATCTTTCAAAAACTTTACGTTTTTGATAGGTCCTTTTATGAGCTCTCTCTACAAACTAGTGAAATCAAAGAAGAAGAAGAACAGCTCAGACAAACTACAGCCAGACTGCAAATCAACAACGAAGAGATAAAGAATCTCTCACAGGAGATGAATTCGAAGATTGAAAACCTCATACAAAACAAAATCCATCTGCAAGAGAAAGTATGGGGACTGGAAGACAAAGTCACTAAACTGGCCATTATCCAGCCTTCAATGCAAGAGACAAAAGAAATTTCTTCACTCAAAGTAAGTAGACTTGAGAAAGCCCCTGACACACAAAGCCAAAGTAAACTGTAACGCTATTATCAGTAGTTATGCAATAGAAGCTCATGTTTTCCCTTCCTCTTCACCGTAGTATTACTGTGTATTTAGAGAAATAATCACTGCAATAAAAGAATCAGTGTCTTAATCTGACACATTTTATTTCGCAGTAAAATTCCCCAGTGAAATCGGTGAGAAAATGGTGAAATTGTAAGGCTCTGTATCGTTTTCAGTATTTTTTTGCAAATCAGTTTTAATAGTGTAACAATAATGATAAAAGATTTTTGCAATCAGGAAAATGACACGATTACCAAGCCCATAGGTTTGTATGTCATCATCTCATTACAAATCAATGCATCTGGAACTGCCTGCTCAGTTAAAAGCAGGAAGTTTAAACTTTTAAAGAGTGACATCTATGGTATCTATATGACCTCTAGGACCAAAGAACCTTGCAAGTGTTAATAGACTTAACATCAGTACATGCAAGTATTTAGATGGGTATAAGGTTTCCTATGGAAAAGGAAGTACTAACTGTATTTTGCAGAAGCATAAAAAGGCTAAGCAATTTGCATGAAAAAATACTGGATGTTCGTGTCAAAGCAGAAAGATGACCCCAGATTTCCCAAATCCCAAGTTAATACCCTCAATGCTGGGAGTTGTTTCCTTTTTCGATCAGCGGTATACATCTAGTTTGAATCAACAACCAACTTCACAGAACACAATTGTTCTGGATGTGAAAATGGAAGGAAAACAGCAACAACAAAAAAGGTACCAGCGGTTTGTCTAAAAACCAATAAAAATTGGTGTTCGCTTCAGCGGCAAAGAAATTTGCCCTTTCAGAGGCAAAGCAGGCAGCCCTTTGGAAAAGGAAGGGCAACATCAAAGTGTTTGTGCCTCTCAAAACTTGCCCCATCACAAGAGTCATAGAGGCTGCAGCACTGTGAAGGTCTTCCGCTGCTTTTAACCACAATCCTCCTCCCTCCCTTCCTGCCCTCAGGCTTTCATGGAGCAGCAGGACAACCACATCAAGCAACTTCTCAAAACTGTAGAGGACCAGCATGTGCAACTCGACAGACAGCACAATCAAATAATGGAGCTGGAGGACAAGGTGCAGGAACCATCTCTATTTCTCTTTTGAGAATTTGTCATCTCTCGTAACACTGAAAGTGTCAATGGCCCAACCATTCATTTGGGTCAGCCACCCCTCTTGATCGCAGTTTGGGGGTGTAGAGGAGGGTATAAACAATTTTGACCACAAACAGGTACCTTCTTGGGTGAGAGACTGCAGTGCTGCCCGGCAGGGGGCTATGGCCAAGGCACACAATGACCAAAAAACACAGCTTTGAAATACTATCAACGCCAGGCTGCTGTATTTTCTGACTGCTAATTTTCTTTTTTTTTTTTTCCTTTTATTATCTGTCATATTGTTCTTCCATTGATTTCTCAAGTATCATTATTTTCTACCTCTTCCTTCTTTTCCAATATTCACTCCAATAGACAACCATGTTCTGCAGTTCAACACGTGTCACCGTAATGCTGGGTATAACTGACATGCTCATATTTAATTTATTCCTACGAGGACGCTGTAAAAGGAAAACGCATTTCAGCCTAAGGAACTGTGGGTTCTGTGCTCTTTGGATGTTGGTATTATTTGTCTAAGTGATGTCACCTGAGGAAAGAAGTTAAATCTGTTTGCCCATTAAGGTGCATCTCATGAGAATGGGTCATTTACCCGCCTCATGAATCCTACCTTGTTTGAGCAGTGGCACAGCTGACATTTGTGCAACTGAAATTCACCAGTGTGGTTCTAAAGTTATTTTTATGTTGTAAATTGGGTATTCTAAAGGATTACATTCACAAGAAAAATTACTCTCTGCATGACATTGTTCGGCTTGATATATGAATCTCATCATTTCAGAGCCTTGGGAAATTAACAGTCTGTAATTACGGTTCTTTCAGCTAACCCACATAGAGCTCCAGGAACTGGCAGAGAACTCCTTCACGGGGGAGCAAACAGAATCAGAGGCCATCCCCTTTCCTGTGCGCAACACCACAGCTGTAACATACAGATCTGATGGTGAGACTTAACTCTTAGACGTGGCTACACAATATATTGCGTTCACACTATTCCCTGTGAAAGTTTTGTGTTCGTTTTTAATAGTCAAAGACTAAAAGTAAAAGATTTCTATTATATACAGCACTGTGGGAAGGAGCTAGATTTCCTGCTTTGGAAAAAAATATCATCTACTTAGCCCCACTATACGTGTACTTGTCTCTGGAATATGGGAACAACATCCAATAATCCTGTCCTCAACCCTCACCCTCCATTCGCCTCTTGTAAACACGTGCTGTGACCATCCTTTTATTGACACTTCTGGCATTGCTGATGCCAGTCTTGGAGAGTATGAACACAAAACTAATTTACTTCACACTGCTAATTATAAGATTCAGAAGAGCTTTCTTTAAAGTTGAAAGGCATTTTCAAACTGCAGCAATGGGAACGGTATTTACCAGGAACTTTACAAGGGGTAGGAAAGTCCGTTTGCCAGAGTCTAGTCTTAGGCCTTACGAACTTTCCAAAATTATCTAAATTGAAATCTTGCCTAACTTAAAAAATACATGCAGTCCAACCTACGTACAACTTGGCAGCTGTACTACCAAGCCCAAAGCAGTTCCTCCATTTCAGGACGCTGTAGAATAAAATTACCAAAAAGATTTGTTATAGTTTTTGGCTCTATCCCATATAGAAATTCAAGTCACAAAGCTGGATTAAAACTTACCACATCCAAAACAGGATTTGTAATTGTCTGCTCTTTGCCTTCCTAGGTGCCGCTCCTGACTGCACTGCTCTTTATAACAGCGGCATGCGGTCCAGTGGTGTTTACACTATTAAGCCCAACGGCTCAGAAGCTTTTGATGTCTACTGTGAAATGAAATTTGGTAAGACAGTTGTGCTAGCAACAGTCTTTAATTTTCACATAAGTAGTATCTTATCAGCCAAAAAATCATCCCAAAGTACGCAAAAACTTATCATGATTTATGTATCCTCTTGACTTCTCTTAACTGGCCTGTCTGTGCTCCGAACTCAGGCTTCCCATATCCTAAGTCTCCTTAACACTGCTTTCATTCTTTATTCGCCTCATGTTTATACCAAGGAAAGGACTTTCAACCATGTGACATAAACTAAGTATATTAGGAAAACCAAGCCCCTTTAGCCATAGATAATGAAAACGGCAATTATAAATGCCATTATATTGCAACCATTAATATCTTAGCCAAACAAAAGCAAACAGTCAATAGTAAATACCTTAGTCAAATTTTGTTTCATTAACAATGGTTATTGCTTGAGACTTAGATACACCAAACTAGCCCAAAATTGTTGAGTCCTGGAGACAGGATCCCTGTATGACAGTATGAGTGGGTCAGTAGCAATGTATCATATAGGTTCAGAACAGTCATGGATCAGAATGCACAGCACCTACCCAAGCTCTATCTTTGTAAGAAACCCATTTGTCTGTTGCTTTTGACACTACCTGGAGATCACACATCATTTGGCCAGTTCACTGTTCCCTGGTTTTCCACCCTGCAATGCAGCATCCTGCAGTGCAGCATTCTGCAGTGCTGCTCTGTGTATGTCCTGACCAACTTCCCTGCACAGTCCGTTTGCCACAGATACCCCGACAGCCTGGGAACACACTGATCCAAACGTGGCGGGGACGTGTCATTTGTTTGGATGTGTAAACAGAACGGCATGGGGTTGCCCCATGCAAAAAGCTCCTTTGCTTACATTTGTTGAAACTGGTAAAATGAGGGTGTCATGACCTGGTCAGGAGAAGGCCCCCACTGCAGCCCTAGTGTGGTCACGGCCTCCAACACTTCATACCCTCTGTGCAGTTGCATTCCCAGCAGTCAAGTACTATCAGTAGAGGGAGTCTGACAATCTGACCAAACGTCTGGAACATTTCCTATCTCTTCTTAATCATTTTCTCTATGTTTGTGTTTCTCAGCCCTCATAAACAAATGAAACCCAGTTAAGGCAGCTTAACAAAATAAGTCCAGTGAGCTGAGTCACCGCAAGTGTGGCAGAGGACACTTGAATGGCCCCACGTTCTGTTCAGCTGTGCTCACCTGGAATTTCTTTCATGAAGATTTAGGCTAGCTCATTCTACCTCAAAACTCGAGCACCGAAGAGCACACTCATGGACACTTAATAAGGTCAAGGTCACCATGAGTTGAGCATCTGCCCTCTGCACAGCTGAGGCTGTATAGCTCGGTAGGTGTGCACACAGGTCTCTTGCAAAATGAAGAGTAAGTGGGACTCATATGGAGCCACTTTAAATGCAAATCCATTTCTTCGTCACTGTGGCAGAGAGCAAGCTCACATAAGGACAGCCACAGTGGCACAGTCTGTAGGCCAGCAGCTGATGGTCTCAGTTGCTTTCCATCTTCTCTCTGGTGCTTTAAACAGTTAAGACAGGCTTGTGACTTATTTCCCCTTCACGCTTGCAGGCAGTTCCTGGACTGTTATCCAGAACAGAGTGGATGGATCACTAGATTTCAACCAAACCTGGGATGCGTACACAAATGGTTTTGGTGATCTCAATGGTAAAAATGACTTTTTTGTGTCTTCTCTTCGTATCAGTTGATTTGAGAAGCTGAATCTTCCTACTGAAAGGGGTTCACATGGGAGCAGACAAAACCTGGAATCAAACCTGAACAGCTTACCTAATTAGTAGAACACCAGAAAGCACTCACCAGAAAACGTCACTCAGTAAAGTTCTCAAAGGCACACTTTCAAATATGTGTTCAGAAACTCTTGCTGAATCAAGGCTAGAATGCTTTAAATGCTATTTTAATTATCAAGATTTCACTATTTATAAAAGCACCTCCCAAAGCCTTTAAAACACACACAAACACAAAACCTCACCAAGTTGCTGCCACTACTTTCTCAAACTTTCTGCAATCCTGTTTCCCTTAAAACCACCACACCAATTTTTTCAACCTCAAGAGAGCCCAAGGCTGTCTGTGCTCTCCTGCACAAACACCTCCGGTTTCTCTGGGCAGTGGCAAATCCCCTCCATGGCTGTATAGGGTGAGAAAACACCCACATTCCCCTGTTAATCATCAACTCCAAAGAATTTGTAGAACCAAGTGCTGCCCAACAGCCTCCCCATCCAGAGTATTTTCCCTATTTGTCTCATACAATGAGATGAGTCTATTTTTCTTCAGAAAATATTTTGACTTTCTAGGCACAGCACAGATCAAAACCTCACCAATGTGGGCAGCAATATTGACTTACTTCCACCTCTTTTACAATAAAGAGCTGCTCTCTCTCAACCTTTCCCACATTTTGGGACAGTAGCTCACAACTGAGGTAGACTTTTACCTGTATAGCTTGTTTGATCATACTAAACGCTAAAGTTGCTCCTTGATTGGTCTCAAATTCCCATATACTACACCAACATGAAGCCACAACTTTTCAGTGTCAGAAAGATTTTGCAGAGGATCGCATCACTCTCAGCTATGTCCTACTCAGTTCTGTGCTGCATATTTTAAGGTGATAAAATATAACAGGCTACCACTCCTTACCTGTAAATTGTGGGAGTGTTTTACTCTGGTCTTCTATTGCTTTAAATGCTGCCTGCATGAATGGCACTCACATTCAGCTACACTATTTCTACATGTGGCAATTACCTACTGTGCACTGATACCAGCAGCACTGATAATAAGCTACTTAATGAATATAACTTATGAAACTAATTGAACTAATTATCAAGAATTCTAGCAAAAGAAAAATGTTCAAGTTAAATTAATTTTGTACACAAGGGTATCGAAACTTCAGCTTAGTTCTGCAGCTCTTTCCTTAAAAAACACAACAATTGCAATTAGGTTTTATGTATGTCATTTGCTTCATTTATCACACAGTTCTAATTACACATGTTTTAAATGTCTTGAGCTCCCTCTCAGAGTTTCACAAGAGGTGGGGAAGTTAAGAGAGAAGCTGCAGCTCATTTACATCTCTTGCGTTTATTGATCACTGGTGTGCAATTAAGAAGAGGTAAACAAAATGAATGTAGCAGGAGACCTCTGAAAAGATCAACAGTCCCCAAGACTCATATTATTGATTTAATTAAAGCAATGAATAAACCCTATTAAATACTATATTTTCACACATACTACTCGCAGGTTATTGGTAAAAACAAATTCAAAAGCAGTGCGAGCGATATAGGGGTTTAGGGAAAGTTTATCACATAAACCCCTTCCCCACTAACTCTCTGCCGGTTGACTTCTGTCCCCTAATCCTCACCTCTGATATCTCTTCATTCTGAGATTGTGCAGCTTCTTTGAACACATATTTTCAAATATTGAGCTTTCAAAGGTGAACAAGCTATCCAAGGTATGGGTTAGAGATCTGAAAAACATGGTGAGCGTGTCCATGCCCAGTTCCTTATTAACAGCACCTATTTACTACAACTTTGCAGAGGAATTCTGGCTAGGCCTGAACAAGACCTATTCCATTACTAAACAAGGGGACTACATCTTACGGATCGAGCTGCAGGACTGGAAAGATAATAAACGTTACATCCAGTATGCATTCAGCTTGAGAGGCCCGGAAACAGACTACACTCTCCAGCTTTCACGGATCTCCGGGAGCATCCCCAACGCCCTGCCGGAACAGACAGAACTGCAGTTCTCAACTGCAGACCGTGATGTGGACATAATAAATTACTTCAACTGTCCAGAAAACTACCTAGGTATCAGTATGGTATATTAGTACTAACATGGGAGCTTCTTCGTTACATGAAGGCTGGCAGCATGCTTCAGTGGGTAGTTACTGATATTAGCTTGGCTTTAGATACAGAAAAGAATGGGCAGCAGCATCTTTCCGCTTGCAGGAAAGGGCAAAAGATGTTTTTCATTGGCAGACTGCAGGGTCCTACAATGAGGCACCACCTTTCTGTTTTATAGATAGGTAAAGCTAAAGCATAGCGAGGCTGTGCGAACGACCAACATCAGAAACCAAACTAGCAGCACAGGGTGAAATAAAACCCCAGGATGAGATTCTAAGCTATGAAGTAAAAGGCAGTTCTTCCTCTGATGTCTGGTCTGGTGTGGCAGCTCTGAGTCAGATTGTTTAATCCCTCCTTGCAAAACAAAACAAAACAAAACAAAAAAAAAAACAAAACAAAACAACCAAAACCAAACAAACAAAACAAAAAAACCCCAGAAGACAAATTGACTCGTAACTCCATTTTGACTACAAACTACAAGAGTGACAGTGAGTTTCCATTCAAAGGGAGATCTTAGCTGTTTGTCAAGTATACATGCTATAATCACTCTCAAAAGAGTAAGAGAGATGTGAGGCTGAAGACAGTTCTCCTTAAAGATAATTTGGTTAAAGGATTCCTAATTCTTTGGTTTTATGAAGCTTTTATGTTTTGCCAGTTTATAGCAAAAAGCAAACAATCGAAAAAGCAATTAATGATTAAACCACAGGATACAGAACTGCCCTCCAGACACCCACTTCATGCAACAATCATTTTGTACGGCGTTCTAGGCTTGAAAATTGTTAATGTCTGAAAGAACACCAAGAGTATTACTCTGCTCTAGTGACCATAAAGCAGATGGCAAATGACTTCCAAAGAGCTAAACTTTCATTTTTAGCACAGAGTCACTGCCAGTCCTTTGCAAGCAGAACTGGGTTTACAATTTAAGCTTGTGGTTAAGGACACCAGCCACTAAAACAGGAGAATTTGTTTACTAAAGGCTCTTCAGCCTCCTGCAGACGGAGAGATTTAACTATTTGTATCAGAGAAAAATATCAGCAAATCAGAAAGTCAATTGTAGAGGGTAACAGGAAACATGAAAGCATGGAGCTAACTTTGTAAGTGTCCCAACTCAGTGGCAGCATTTGTGTGTAGAATCTTCTATGCACCACTACTTTTATGTCAAGCAGACAATAATAGGGAACATATCATCTTCGTATTGGCCCTCAGCTTGTAAGTGTAAGTGTGTACATGTACAAGCAGCATTGCATCTGGGTATACGGGGTAATTGTCACCTTTGCTGGAACTGGTCTAAAGAAGATTTATGTTGCAAACAGGAGCTGTCTACTTGGAAACTGTGCACAGTGTTACGGCACAAGTGACAGTAACTGACATTACAATATTTTTCCTCAGGAGGCTGGTGGCACAGTGAATGTGAAGAAACAAATCTTAATGGGAAATACGTCGCACCAAGGTCAAAAGGAAGACTAGACAGAAGAAAAGGCTTATACTGGAAGCCTAAGAAAGGAAGATACTACTTGCTCAAGTCAACCAAAATAATGATACACCCAACAGATTTAAAAAGTTTTGACTGATGTGTTTTAATTCAGAACATACACACTGAACATTACTACACCGAAGAAGTCCATGTTATGTTTAATAACAGATGCATGTCTAAATCCATACACTGGATGGTGTATTCTCCAATATACAAACCTGTGGCATTTGCGATGGTCTTACAGTATGTTTGGTGAGTATTTTCATTCCCTCTAGCCCCAACGTCAATGTGCTGTCACTTTCAGGGAGCTTTTAGCTCCCCAGGATGAACAACTAATGCCTAGGCATCAACCACCTAATCACGTATTAGATAATACTCCTTGGGGGAATGGATTTTCAGGCTGTTGCATTCGTTTCTGGGTTGTGTAGTATGGAAAACAAGAAGTGTTTTGGTAAACAAAGGGCTGGCAAAATGCTATGGACAGCATTTAGGTATTAATCCATAGGAAAAAAAAAGAAATTTTGTTTTGTAAAGTAACTAATTTGATGTTTAGTTCATGTCATTGTTGTGGAAAGTTTCTAAGAGCAAATGAAAGATGGGTAATTCCCCATTTTAGGGTTCTGTGTATTTCCAGACTGAAGCACTGTACTCGCGCAGCTATAGATGTGTACACACACATCAAGAAAGCCAGAGCACAGGCCTAATCTTTTACATACCACACTCTGAAGAACAACTTAAGAACTACACTTTCTTACCGGACATTAAGAGCTAAGCTTCAAAGCTTACTGGAATGAGAAAGAGATTTTTTCTTCTCATTTGAAATGGAATCAGAGCCACCCCTTTGCAACCTTTTAGTACATCTAACTCAGAAATTAAATGAAAGACCAAGTGAGCACCAACAAAACACCTTTCAAATAGAGAACAGCTGCCTGTGGGAGTCAATGGTACCAATGAACAAACCCTGCAGGCACAACCTACATGACAGTGTTGGTCCTGCTCCTGAGAACGCTTTCACATGTGTTTAACTTCAGCTGCAGAATACTCTAAGGCAGAAGGACTATTGACATGCCTGTGACTGACCAGCCGTGGAAGTGTTGACTGACAAAGACCCCAATTCTGCAGTTGCCTTGAGTCATATTGACTTGTATATCTTATCTAACGCTTGTACAGTACAGGTTTTTTATCTCAATCATTGCAACCACACAGAAAACAGTTTCAAATTGTAATTTGTCAGAGTGAAACAACTGTGAACAGGATGTATTAACTACAGAAAAACTGCAAAAATACTTTTACTACTTATAGATTTATTACAAAGAAGATACCACACAGTGCTGCTTATTTGTACTGATGTATTGTAACGTTTAATTACCTGTCCAACCTCTAAAAATAAATAAACTAAACTTTTGAAAAGAACTTGACTAAACTCTATCTTGAAAGCTCTGGTTTATAAAAACTTGGTTTGTATTTATTTAACTATTACAAGGAGAAGTAACGGATTTGGTGAGTAAGTTGGTGAAATTACTCAGCTGAAGAAGACAATTCCACTCAGGCATGTAATGTCTCCAAAGATACTGTGAAAAAGCTTTAAATGAATAGTGGTACATAATGAAAAGCCATCTGCTCCCTGACTGGGCTTAGTTATAGAAGGGCTATTGTTTTCCAAGATACTTTAGAAAAATTTCTTATCTTCCAGATCTTCAGAAGATATTTTTTTCAGGCATTGTAAACAAAGAAATTGCTTTTAAATCAAAATGGAAATACGAACAAGGTGATTATGCATTTTTGTCATTTTTATCCCTCACTTGAAACAAAAAAAGTAAGTCACAAAGTCAGAAAGTAATAAAAGCAGTAAAAGAATGATGACTTTAGCAGACAAAGAAAAAAACTTACGTAAAACTGAAAAGAATTCAACTGAATTTCACTCTGAATTTTGGGAAATGGAGAAACCTCTCTCATGTTCTTGTTCACAGCCAAGTTTTATGCAAATATGTTTGTCCCTTCGCAACTGTGTATTTTCTGCTGTGTCAGTCTGGACCCTTTTTGGGCCTTTGGCACAGCAGATCTACTGATATGGCAAGTTTTGCAACGAACCAGATGATAAGGTTGGCATTTCTAGACTTGCCAGTCTCAGGCCCTGAAATGTGAAACGCATTTCAAAACTCTAACCTGTATGTGGTATTTGGAACGTAGACATCCCTGGCAGGAAACTCCAGGATTTCTCTTGTAGGTCTAACTCTGCTGTCTGGGTAAAGTTTGACTTGCAGCAACTCTGGAGTTAGACAGTAATGGGGATTCTCTGGCGCTGGAGATATGTCTATCTTTAATTGAGCTGTAAGGAGAAATTTATTTTATTACAATAAATAAGAGCTGATTTAAATCAAAAGGCATATTCATGCTTTGTCTCTTCAGCTTAATATCCTATATGTCAATTTCATAAACAAATGATATATTACAGCCAATGTGGATTCATTAAAAACAAATAACAGTGAATCAAACCAATATCTAGGGCAACTGGGGTACCAGATATTAAGAACCAACAGAAAAGATGTATCTTAAGAGGTGTTCTCATAAGCAAGTTGGGGAAATACATTCTAGATAATGCTACTGGTGAGGCCCAACTATTGTTAAAAACAATATTCAAAATCTCATCAGGAATCTCGCCTGTCAAACTGGAAGGATACATCAGGAGTTTCTGAAAGCTAATCTGCACCAAGATTATTAAATATTTTCCTTAGCAAGTCAGCTGACGGTACTGACAGCACACATCTTTGGTGGATGGCACTGAGGCTGGAATGATTGTAAAAATTTGGAAGACAGGAGAGTTGGAGAAATGGCATCAAATGACTAAGGTGAAACACAAGAAAGAGCAACAGACTTGCACCAAGAATGAGAAGCCAAACATCAAAAAAAAAAAAAAAAAAAGCCAAAACTGCCATGGATCAACTCTGTAGAAAAGTGCTGGGTAACAGCAGTGACAACAAGACAATGTCTAGAAGAAAGCTAGAAGCATTCTAAGATACATTAGTGCAGTGGCATGTGTAAGGCACTGGAGACAATTCATCTGCTTTGCTTGGCATGAGGTCTTAGGAGGAGCAGCATAACCAGTTTAGAGCACTGTGCTTGAAGAAAAGCATGGACAGATTAAAGAAACTCTAGCAGAGAGTAACAGACAATTTTAAAATCACACCCTTTGAGGAAGGGTTGAGAAAAACCTGAGATTGGTTAGGCTACAAAACAGAGGTGAATAAGAGTGAAATAATAACAGTATTCAAGTACTTGAAAGGTTGTGATAACTGCCCTTAGGGCATGACAGGCCATAATCAGATTAATTTGCAGCAAGGTAATTTTGCAAAGTTTTCTTTACCTAACCTCACTACAAGGGCAGCTGAGTGCTGGGAGAGATTATCTAAGGAAGTGGTAGGATTGCTGTCACTGGAGATTTTTAAGAACAGGTTATGTAAATATTGTCAGGAATAGCACAGGTCAGGGACCAGTGCTGTTTCACTGCTGGTGTGCCAGCGGTTTTATTTTCCTTTCTCAAACAGAGGTGGAGTCTGTTCCTATTAACCAAGTGGGAGCCAGGAGAGAGAATGGTATTTTACTCAGGAAAACAGGGGCTCCTCAGCCCCTACTGGGTTTAGGGCTTTGGGGTTTGCATCCTCTCTCAGTGTGGCAGGAACTGCGTGTGCACATGTACCAGTGAAAAACCTGCCAAGACACCATCTTTAGTGCTCGTGGTCTACCAGGAGTTGCTGTCAATGACTTAGGGTTTTTTCATTGGCTCACTTAGAAGAACTGGGTGGCAACTGGGAAGGACAAACCAAATACCTTAACATGTGTGAGCCAAAAAGATCTCATTCAATACCTGTGATAGGTCTCAATCTCCGCAACACTGATGATGGCCGTCTCATGTCAGCAAGGAACTTGTACAAATCTTCATCACTCAGGCGATCACCCTCCTGTTGGATGTTGGGAAGACAATGGTCATCTACACAACTCTTCAGAATCGTGAGAGAACGAATAAACCATCTAATACAGTCTCTTTCCTGTGACACCAAAATACACCTTCCCAGAACAAGGTGTTAACCTTAACATGCTAAATTACAGTTCATTTCTCCATCCTTTTTCCTTCCTTTTTTCCTTATTAATCATCATGACAGCTGCAGGAACTTCTCATTGAAAACCTTTTCTCTCCCCATCAATATTATCTTTTTCAAAACTGAAAATGGCTGTTAAAAGACTTCCCCCAAATATCCAATTCTTAGCAAGTGTAATAGTTTGAAAAAGTAGCTGTCATTCAGGTAGTGATCCTTATTCCTTCTCCTCTGCCTTTTCTTTGGTACAAGTCTAAAAGAGCCTTACTTTTCAGGAGAAGTGTTAAGAGACAGTGGGAAATGGAAGGAGTCTGTTGTCAGTCTTCCTTGTGCCACATTCTAGTAGCTCAGAATTTTGTTAATTTTGAAACATTATAGAAAATGTGACTCCGCCACCCTCTATCCAAAAGCAGAAGATACCTGACAATAAAGGTAATAAATCACAATGTGAAAAAAGAAGCAAACGGAAGGAGAAAAACGCTGGGTAATATTCAATTAATTGTGCTCAATGGGAGAAAAGGAAGGGAAGATAAAAAATAAAAGATACAGAAGAATGAGAAACTTAAATCCATGTTCAGTAATTTTTAAAGGACAAATTAATAAAGCAAGCTGTTTCAAAGTTGTCAAGTGAAAACTACCTTGACAAAGAAATAAATATACTCTTTTGCAAATCTTTACTAACTCAGTGACCAGGTTTGAACCGGTGTGTGTTACAAAGGGGGCTGCAGAACATGGTCAGTGGAATGGTTGCATTAGCAATGCTGTAATACTTTTTTTTGTTTTTTCCTTACTTCCTGTATTTTGGGTGAATACATTACAGAACTTGATTTTATTAACATCCCCAGTAAAAGGAATTTCCTGTGCTGCTCTGTGTCACTGAGGTGCCAGAGATACCATTCACAGAGCCCAGTTTCAGTCACACCGAGTTTCACAAAAGCGCAGAGCACCAGAGGCATGAGTCACCCTCCACTTACATGGTTTGCACCTGTATGACTTCATGCCCTTCATGACTTTTCTCCTTATTTACACTACTGTATTTAAGACCAGTCTTTGGATGGCTACCTACAGTGAAAGTGGCATGTAACCAAAACAATTAGGAAAAAAAAAAAAAGGCAGCTTAACCAACTTCCAA